TGTCTGAGCTGGTGAGTAAGACAGGACCAGAGCCAAGGGTCAGAGGCCCCAACTCCTTCGTTGTCTGCATGGGGCAGGTAGGCATCTAAGAAGCACTCAGCCAGGAATAGGGAAATAGGGCGCCAGGTGGGCTGCCCAGTAGGGACCTCAAGTCACATGAGCCCTCCACCTCCCTGTGGCCTCTAATTCCACAGCCTGCAGCTTCTCCAGGGCCCTCAGGCAAGCTCACATTTTTTTTCATCTCTTCGAAATGGGCACAATACTTCCTCAGCTCTGGGGACAGGGGATGGTTATTGGGTTAATCTATGGGAAGACAAGCTCCTGGAAAGGACAGTGCTGTTTTCTGTGGGGTGATGTTGCCAATGGCCATGGAATGAATACGAAGATTGATTAATAGTCAGTAGAGATGCTGTGTTGAAATGAGAAAAAGACAGGAAGGTCCCACAGTGTAACAGTGAGTAGAAGAAAAGCTGGACACAAAACCGTATCTACACTATCATCCCAGTCATTGGCGATTTTTATACATTGGCGTCTTTTACACACAAAATACTTGCATAGAAAGAAGATTAGAAGGAAACACATCAGTATTAGAGTACTGATTCACTTAGAGTTGTGAAGCGTGAGTAGGAAATTTTTCTTTATACTTCTTTTTTCCCCCAAGTTTCCTACAATGAGGACCTATTACTGTCGTAAGAATAAAAATATTAAAAGAAAATCAATTTAGAGGAAGGTGAGGCCTTGCGCCCCTGGTAGCATGCTCTCCAGGAAACAGCAGGGCCCCTCAGGGTCCCAGCCTCCCTGTAGCAGGTCCGCCTTCTGTGACAGGGCCGCCCCGCTGGTAGCTCCGGGTGGCACAGGCTGTAATGCTTGCCTTTTTCTTTCCCCACCAGGGACCGTACCACCACCGTGGTGAATGTGGAAGGGGATGCCCTAGGTGCGGGCATTCTCCACCACCTGAATCAGAAGGCAATGAAGAAAGGGGAGCAGGAACTGAGCGAGGTAAAAGTGGAAGCCATTCCCAACTGCAAGTCAGAGGAGGAGACGTCGCCTCTGGTCACACACCAGAACCCTGCTGGCCCTGCATCCAGCGCCCCGGAACTGGAATCAAAGGAGTCAGTTCTGTGATGAGGCTGGGCTTCGGGCTTGCCTGCCAGCGGTGGTGCCTGCCCTGTCAGTCCAGCCACCGGATACCAGGCATCAGACACTAGGCACCACCCTCACCAACTTTAGCCTCCTGGGCAAAAATTTGGCCCCGTCACTGGTTTGAGGATCACTTCTTGGCACAGGCACTGGGCTTCCCAGCAGGAACTGGTTACCGAGGACCAGGACACTCTGATATTAAGCTTGATCCATGTCCAGGTACAACTGTGTGTGCACCGGGCTCTTTGAAACGTACCCTTGAGCTGCCAGACTCTGGAAAATAGGCTCTTGGGGACCTGATGGTTAAAGCTTGGAAAAATGCAGATGTACTCTTCATTGCACCTAGTCACTCTGCATTGGGTACTTTCTGGGAAAACCTGGGGGTTTTGCAGTCATCTGTCACATTGCCTTGTGAGCCACAGTAAGTGGAAAAATTCTTAAATTCTTAGCTGTGGCTGGAATTCACTGAGCTAGGACTCAAGATGTTAGAGTTTGTGCTACAACTAGGTGCAGCTGGCTTCTGGTTTGCTGGTTGGTGGTGGGCTACAGGCACTGCACATTGTCAAGTTAGAAATATTTTAGATGATGTTAACACTGCTGGGTTCTCTGGTCAGTGGCATTAAGTAAACAATCTAAATTCTGAAGTCAACAAAAGAAGGTGAGTACAGCCTGCAGTGAGAAGGGAGGCAACCTAATCAGGACAAGACGCACGCATGCACGCAAGCACGCACGTCCCCATTCTCATCTCAGCCATGGGGAAGTTTTTGGCTTCCGTGACCTGGGCCACTGACAACACTGTAGCTTTATCTCCATCCATTCTAATTTGGCAACAGGACAGAGAGGGGCCTCTTCCTCTGGGGAAGTGTGATGTGGTCATCACAATTCAGCACCTGAGTTGGTTTATCAATTTACTATTTTAATTCAACTAGGCCTTCCCTAAAACACTGTATTCTGGCAGTAATAATAATAATGGTAATAAATTTTAAAAACCCAAGCCCCCAGATGTCCTAGCTTTGGCTGATTTCCACAGACTTAGTTTCCTTTCTCGATACTACATTAAAGTTTAAAATTATAAGCCAAATGTCCACATTCCTCCAGATATCAGCTGGATCACAGTTGAGTGGGCTTTATAGAGAAGACCGGTGTTGCCAGTAACAGGAAAGACCTCTGAGGCATAGTACTGCTACGTCACTGTGGCTGTTGGTGTGTATCTGAGGTGCAACCTGCAGTGAGTCTCGGGGCCTCACTTTACCCCATTTGTAAAATGGGGCTGATGTCACCTGCCTTTTACCTACCTCAGAGGGATACGGTGTGGTGAACTGAGTGAGTCCATGAAGACGACCGTTTCACTTCTTCAATATCAAGTGCTAACATCTCTATACCACGCTTTTCTTATTTTTTACCTAAGTGATGCTTTTCTGCAGGGAGGCCTCCATTTCCTGACGAAGACAGCTTTTACGAGCAGGACTTTGTTCTCTGTGTGCATTAGCCACTTTTATCACACCGGTTATCCTCTTTGTAGTTACGTGCTAGCATCAAAGGCAGCCTCTTCCTGATGTCCTTCAAGTGTTCATGAATTAATTACCCCACCTTCCATCGCATTTCCGGGTACTTGACTTCCCTGTGACTCCCAGACCTAGGCACCATTTCTGCCACCCCACAATAAGTCATCAAAGCTCCCAAACTTTCAGCCTCTTTCATTCCCTTGTTTTCCGTTGCTGTGGTTTTGCTGTCGCCCAGGCCCTACGGAAGGGGAACACACCATTATGATGCGTGTCCCATTGTGATGAGAATGGGCCGACAGGACAGAGACAATCAAGCTCCTCCATTATAAAATTAGGTGCCTGTGCCTGAGAGAAAGGGGTGGGGAAGAGCCATGGGGCACAGAGCCAACCCAACCCAATCGGTGGGAAGGCCAGCTCCCTCCCATTCTTTAAACTAGCTAAGCCACTCCAGTCTCCTGTAAAGCCAGGAGTGACCAGGAACTGAGCTGAGAGGTGCCAGAAACCTTTACCCTCTGGCTAGAGCTTGCTGCTGTTACCTTTTTGTTTTCTAAGGGGAAACAGTCTCATTGTTTGATTCCAAACTGCAAGTGAACATTCACTACTTTTCAGGCCTTAGTATATTTCGTCTTTCCTTCTTCCACGTATATATGGCTATATATGCATACATATACATTATGTACGTATATATTATTTTAGCTCCAAGCAAGTTTGAGTTTGATTGGAAGTGAAATATAACTGTAAGGTGTGTGGCTTTGGCATCCTTGTTTTCCTGTTTGTAATGGTGAATTTCACAAAACATGGAAATGAGAGCTGGACAAGACCCAGTGACTGTACATCCTCTGTCCTGGACCTGGAAAGGCAACAAATAGAGTGCCGTGGCCTGGAGAAGGGTTCCTCCGTACAAGTCCAGATGGCCAGCATTCCCCTGCCCCTGGGAGGGAGGAGGTGCTGTTTTTCTTCCTGTTTCTCAGTCCACAAGTGGAATCGGACCAAGCGTGACCTGGCTGAGGAAAATCCTTTCATATTGTTCGAAGATGTCTCCCCCATTATGCTCTTCTAACATGTCGTAAATACTGTTCAAATACTGTTCATCTCTGACCGTTTGTATGCGTGACATTTGCCTTAAACATAGCAGCCCTCAAAAAGGAATACAGTATTTCTACTGGGATTTACATGTTGTTGTTGTTTTTTTTATCATTATTTCTTGTGTCTTGAAGTGGCATTTACTGATGGAGCTTCTCTAGAGGATGGATGGCCTGTGAGTAACGGAATTGATTTTTTTTCCCTAGCTTTTAGCCAACACGATCCCCTGAGGCAAAGTAGACCCATTCTGGTGGGCAAAGCTGCTGTGGGGCTTTCACTTATGTGACTTGCCTCTGATGACGTCCAGCCGTTTCTGGGCTCCTCCCATTCAATACTAGCAGGACTCTTGGAAAAAGTGAGCGGTTTGCCACCTACCTCCATAAAGTTATGTCTTGTGAGGACAACTAGATCAACAAGCCTTAACTGAGCATTGGCTGTTAAACCAAGAGCCAAGCTCCACGGAATTACTGAGAAAATTCTGGCAGAAAGCAGTTGCCCATGCCTCTACCCTCATCACCACCACGCCCAGTCCATTCTTTTGTATAATCTCATTTTCAGTGACACCACATTCCAGCACAATTAGGGAATTTCAGAGTCTCTTATGGTAAGATTATCCTACAAGCTCGCACTGGAAGCTTGATTTACACTCCCTGGGGCTTCTGAAGAGACAAGTCCCTATTCTGACCTGGACATTTCCTGCTCTCCATATCATATAGGAGTTGGTTTTAATTTCTGGGCAAGGCCCAAAGAGATGAGAGAGTTTGCACAGATCAGGGGCCTGATGGGGCCTGTTGCTAATGAAATTTAGGTTCCCACCTTGGAGTGTGGCTGCCTTGATTCTCTGTTATGGATATTGTTTGGAGGTTGAGACTAGTACTCAGTGATTCAGCTTTTCAATGTAGCCAAATCACTGGAAACAATTCTGTAAGCCGCGTCTTCCAGGTAACCAGTAAGAGCACTGATCCGTTGAGTCACCTCACCCTGCTCAGAGGAGGCTTCCAACGACATCCATGAATGACTTAAATCATGTAGCAAGGAGGAGCAAGCACTGTCTAGGTTCTAGTCCCAGCTTTGCCTCTTGCTGTGTGACCCTGGGCATGATAACCTCTCTATGCCTCAGTCTCCTCATTTTTAAAATGAGGATGATAATCGTACCAATGGCATGGAGAACAGAGGAGTTAACATATGTAAAGTGCGCAGAAACACTTTGCATGGAACATGAGCTGTCAGCATTGGCTTTCAAATTAGAAACAGTGGCAAGAAAGGTTCCCAATCGGCCTATGTCCCTTTGCATCCGGGCCCAGCAAGTGGCATGGTCATATTTAATCCCTTTTCCCCTTGACAGAGAGGAAGATCTGTTTCAGCTTGTGTATGTGTGTAGTCCAGAAGCAGGCCCATTTTGAACGTTCATTCTAAAAATATTTGGACAACTGCTTAAAAGGAAGTGAACCTTATAAACGATTGTCAGGTAGCACTTGAATGTCTTAATTCACAAAAGAAGCCTTCCACTCATGCTTTCCTCTCTTCAGCTATGTCCTCTCAAGTTGCAACTCAGGATACAGACAGCTCCTAGCAGTACCCAGCCTTCTAGAGAGGAATTTGCTCTCCTGGCCCAGGCTCAACCCCTACTTATCACTCTCAGGAGAGGCAAAGGCAAGCTGAGGTTTGGGGGTTCTGGTCTGCCTCCCAATCTCAGGGCTCTCCTCCTGCAGACCTCGTTATGCAGAGCTCTCAGTGAGTGAGAGTACATAGCAAGAGAGAAAATCTTAAGTCATTTGAAAGAAAACTTTCCCCTCTTAAAGGAAAATAGCCATGAGTCCTCACTGGTTTTTAATCTTTTCAGAGGATTGTAACTGAGTATCCTAAAATTTATCAAATCAGGGCCTCAGACCTGAATTATTTGTTTTAGGAACAATATATCAGTGTTGGGCTGGATTTTTAGCAGATTTAGGATTATTTGGAATAAGATGTGAGACGGAGATGATAGCTTTGGGATTCTAAGGGTGGTGGAACTTGTGAACTTGCCCCAGGTCCTAGGGCACAACTGTCCCCAGGCTCTGCCTTCAGGAGAAAAAGAAAATCATGCATAAAGTTTAGAAGTGTCCCTTCTTTGAAAAGAGTTTCAAGGGTGTCCTGAGGTCAGTAAATATTCAGCATTTCTTTCCTTTTTAATTACAGCTTTATTGAGATGTAATCCACACACCAAAACTTACCCTTTTAAAGTGTATAATTCAGTGATTTTCAGTGTAGTCACAGCACTGTGCAGCCCTTACCACAATCTAATTCCAGAAGATTTTTATCACCCCAAAGAGAAACCGAGGACCTCTGGCAACTACTAATCTGCTTTCTATCTCTATGGGTTTATCTATTCTAGATATTTTCTATATACAGATATAGATGTTTCCTTTTATAGATACATCACAGAAAAAAGAGAATTGATCAAAATGTCATCAGCGCTCACCTTCCCACTACATTCATTGTCCCCGCACGCCTCCAAAGGAGATCCTGTAAACTCTTCTTAATCACCCAATACAGACTTAATTATTTTAGCCTCTTGAGAAAGAAAAATTTCTGGTTAATAGGTTAACCACTAGACTTAAATAATTTAAAGACCCTCTTCCCTAAACATGTATAACTGATGAAGGTCTGTATATCTAGACCGCACGCTAAGTCAAAGTGTGATCTGGATCCAGGCAACTTATTCTGCTAACTGCTCTGTGCAGTTCCACGTGCAGCGCTGTCCATGTTGTGTTCTGTGCAGACGATGCTCCCTGGAATTGTGCAGCACACAACCTTCACTGTTATACTTGGCAGCCCTGAACTCTGGAGTGTAAATTACAGTTAAAAGACTTGACTCACACTCAAATATATCTACCCTGTAAAAAAATTTTTTTTCTTTTTAACAGGTAGAAGCTAATGAGTGTCAAAGGCAATAGGGTTGTGGTCAAAAGGAACCTCCCCAACTTCACTGCTCACGTTGGTTTTCCTGATTACCAGCGAGCCTGTCACGAGACATCTGAGTTTGTTGCTAGGCACTTTGCAGCATCAGTGTACCTTTCATCTCCCTAGGCCACAGAGCACTCTGGGCTGGGTGGTGAGATGGCTAACAGGCCCTCCTCACCTCCTAAGAGGACCAATCTCATGACAAAAGGGTGGCTCAGGATCTTCTGAATGGTGAGTCACTACACTCAGTCCTTCTAGAAACAGAAGAGCAATGATGGCCAGGACTGAAAGAGGCCAGGCACCAAAAAGTGCAATACTGTATGTGGAATTATTCCATTTATACTAACAAACTGGTCTCCACAATTAGAAGTCAGTTTAGTAGCCTCCCTCTGGTGGAGAGAGGGGCCAGCAGTTAGGAAAGGGACAGAGGGGCCTCTAAAAGTGCTGGCAATGTTCCAGATCTGGAGTTTGCTTTGCGATAACTCATTAAATTGTACACGTTTTATGTACTTTTCCATAAGTCAATAAAAAGAAAAAAAAAAGTAAAAAAAAAAAAGGGATAGAGAATAGAGAGCAGGACCCGGCAGGAGATCTAACTCTGTAGTGGTTACCGGTCACTTTGGGTGACCATTTCTTTTCTTAGGTGTCCTATGGCTCGTTTGAAATTCAGCTAATTGCATCTTGGTCATCCAGAGCAGGTGTCAGCCAACTATGGCCCCCAGGCCAAGTCCGGCTCCCTGCTTGTTTTTGTATGGCCCTCAGGCACAGTTCCAACAGACTTGCATTGTGAGCTGCAGAGATCAAGCTCGGATGGCCCCCTTCCACCCATGTCAGGGCCAACTTCCCCATTAGACACGTACACACAGGGCCTAGGGCCCACAAACACATTATTTTTTAAATCAGAAGAAAAGACTATAATCCAGCTGAATTATATTTGTCTTTATACCAACATAGTTATAAAATATAATCTTTTATATGTTTTAATGAAGGGCCCATGAAGGCAAAAGTACCAGGGTCCCAGGCAAGTCATGCAGCCCTGGGTCCCGCCATTCTGCCCTCTGCTCCCAGCACCAGCCTTCCTGGTTGGCTGTCTCATCTTGCCCCTGCCTAGGGCCCATGCTGGTCACCACCTGCATATTTGGGACTTTGCTATTGGAAACTGCTGGGGACCAGGAAGTGAAACGCCAGTCTAGGAGTCTGTAACTCCGCGAATTGTCTACCCTCCAGCAAGTGGCCCAAGTTGAGCTGGCCAGACTTGTATCACTTGTGTCTAGGTGACACTGGCAGAGTGAAACTGACCGTGGTAGCTAAACCTCTTCTCCTCACTGTCCATCAAGACCCTCCCCTTCAGGCCGGTGGCTCTTTGTCCTGAGAATGTCTCCATCTGATGGCAATTGTGTATCAAGCATGTCCACCACTGGGGATGGCCCATTCCACGTAAGTGGGGCAGAGCAGAGTTTTCTATCATATAAGAACCTACATGATATCCTCAATTTTGCCTCTTGTACCAGAAAGCCTAAATAACTTACAATCCGGTCCATTATGGAAAAAGTTTGCCAACTCTTGCTCTAAAGAAAATATATCCCCATTCCTGACCCCTTTGCCACTGGTATTGTTTGGTGGAGACTGAAAAGCCACATAAACCATGCTGTAATGTTCAGTCTAAGAAACAGGGCTCGGTCATCCCAATCCTAGGACAAGGGCCAGGGGTTTGTTGGTTGACTGGTTGGAATGTCTGCTAGCTGGAAGACAAAGTAAGGCATGTGTTTGAGGGAGACTCCAACATGGCCCCAATGATCCCTGCCTGCTAGTGTTCATACCCATGTCCAGCTCCCATTCACACCAAACAGGTCTGATCTGAGTAAGACAGTCTTTGAATGGGAACCTGGCCTCTAGCCACAAATGCTACTTACTAGAAAAACCTAGGTGGTCACTTCATCTTAAATCCTCAGATGCCCACGGAGAGAAGAGAAAAAGCAAAATTCACAAGAATAAATGGGTCAAAGTAGAAAGCCCTACCTGGTGGAGGCTCATTAGAATCACCTGAGCTTAAAAAAATGACTGTGCCCCAGCCACAGAGATTCTGATTTCACTGGCCTAGTTTTGGGCCTGGTTATTTACATTTTAAAAAAAGTAATCAGG